TGGAAGTCCACCCATTTTAAAGGAAACTGACTGGGGAATTATGGGAATTGAAGTCCACATGTCTTCAAAGGTCTAAGTTTGAGAAAATTTGTTCTAGATTTAAGGATCCTCAATTAATCTTCCTAGAGCCCTAAACATCAGATTGAAGCCCATAGGAAGCCATTTGGATTGGAGAACTACTCGTCAAGAGTATTGAGTGGCAGGCTTGGGGGGTTCGTTTGTGTGAATCCTACAGTGCTAATTCATTTCGTCTTGAATCCCCCCCAGCCTGGCCGAGGTCTTTGGCCCGCACACACAGCCTACGGAGGCCGAATTCTGGGATATGTGGACAGCCCTGCGAACAAACGATGGAAACCTTGTGGTGGACAGGTAGGAGGTTAAATCCCCCAAATGCAGTACAGGCTGAGTCCTTGACTTACGACCGTCATTGAGCCTGCCAATCACGGTAGTGAGACATGATGACTGTAATGACTGGATCCATTTTTCTGTTTTTTGTTTTTGTTTTTTTGTGGGGGTCATTAAACAAATATCAGTTTCCTGCCCTAGTAGGGAGTTGGACTAGGCCAGTGGTCGCCAACTGGTGGGCTGGGGACCACTGGTGGTCCGTGAGAAAATGTTGGTGGTCTGCAGAGAAATGTCCCCCCCCCCAAAGCAATTAATCGAGGCTGCGCGGGAACACAAGGCTGCGCTGCCCACATGGCCCGCGAGAACACAAGGTTTGCGTCGCTTGCATTGCGAACAACACAAGGTAGTGAGGGGGAGGGGGGAAAGGGAGGGGGGACTTGCCCCAGTCGCCCCACGCGCTTGGCCTGGCCACCGGGCTGCTTCTTTCCGCTTCTTTCTTCTCCTGCTTTCGGCTGCATGCTAGGAAAGCAGCCCAAGTTTTTCTTTCTCTCCCCCAAACTCCACCAGAAGTGAGTCTTTGCAAGGCCTCCTGCTCCAAGAGGCTGCACTGGCAAAGATTCATTTCTGGCAGAGTTTGGGGGAGAGAAAGAAAAACTTCTGCGGCTTCTGCTGCTTTCCTTGCACGAAGCCAAAAGTCTCTCCCCCCCCCCCCCGCGCGAATGGAGCTGGAGATGGTATCCTGCGATCTCAAATAAAGAATGATTGATCGGTAGGAAAATGGGGTGGGGGATTTTCCTGCAGATTTTTTGGGGGATTTTCCCAGGGTTTCTGGTCTGCAGGATTTAAAATGATGAGTTTGGTGGTCCCTGAGGTCCAAAAGGTTGGCCACCCCTCCTGTTCTCCTCCAATCCTGCCTAGATGACCTCCAAGGTCCCTCCCAACTCTGCTATTCTATTCTATTCTGTTCTGTTCTATTCTGTTCTATTGTGTTCTATTCTA